TGCTGCTTGGCCTGCTGTGTTCATCCAGCCCTGCACCTTGTTGTCTCGGATTCTCCAGCATCTGCAGTTCCTACTATCACTGTTTTCTAAGTGCTCTGTTATTAAATCTTTGGGCTCTGGCATTTTTTATTGAAACCTATAACATTTGGAGGGAGCTTGACAAGCTAGCTACTGAGGCAATGTTTCCTCTCATGTGGGACTCCAAAACTAGGGGACACAGCATAAAAATAAGGTGTCTCCCAGTTAAGGAGGAGTTGAGGAGGATTTCCTTCTCTCCAAAGGATGTTAATCTTTGGAATTCCCTATCCCAGAGAACGGTGGAAGTTGGATCATTGAATATGTTCAAAACAGATACTTGATCTACAAGGGAATTGTGACTTTTGGGGGACAAACAAAGAGACCTCGGGATGCAGGTTCAAAGTTCCTTGGAAGTGGAGTTGCAGGTGTACAGGGTAGTGAAGAAGGCATTTGGTACGCTTGCCTTTATTGATCAGTGCATTGAGCATAGGAGTTGAGAGGTCATGTTGCATTGTCATGGGACATTGGTTAGGCCATTTTGGAATACCGCATTCAATTCTGGTCTCTCTGCTATAGGAAACATGATGTTAAACTTGAAAGGGCCCAGAAAAGATTTACAAGGATGTTGGCAGGGTTGGAGAGCTATAGAGAGAGGCTGAATAGGCTGGTGCTATTTTTCTCTAGAGTGTCAGAGGCTGAGGGGTGACCTTACAGAGGTTTACAAAATCATGAGGGGCATGGATAGGGTATACAGCCAAGGTCTTTTCCCTGGGGTAGTGGAGTCCAAAACTAGAGGGCATAGGTTTAAGCTGAGAAGGGAAAGATTTAAAATGGACCTAAGGAGCAACTTTTTCACATAGAGGGTGGTGCATGTATGGAGTGAGCTGCCAGAGGTAGTGGTGGAGACTGATACTATTACAACAGTTAAAAGGCATCTGGATGGGTACATGAATAGGAAGGGTTCAGCGTAATATGGGCCAAATGCTAGCAAATGGGATGAGATTAATTTAGGATATCTGCTCGGCATGGACTAGTTGGACCATAGGGTCTGTTTCCATGCTTTACAGCTTTATGATTCTAAGTAGAATTGAGACCAGTATCAAGTAGATCAACTATGGTCACATTGAAAATTGGAGCAGCTCAAGGGGCTGAGTGGTCTGTTCCCGCTCTCATTTATGATGTTCCTATGGTGCCCTGGAGAATAGGATAGGATTCACTTGGTTTGAATTAAGAACCAATAACATGTCATTATTAGGTATTTTAAATGGACCATCAATAATAGAAAAGATTTACAGAGGCCCAGATTTGGAGGGAAGTTACTTAGAGGTGTTGGAACTGTTGAGCAGTCAGAATGAAGAGTTTCAATTAACCTAACATAAACTAGATAGTTACAGTGTAAAGGGCAGAGGTTACAAGTGTGCCTAGGAAAATTGTCTTGCTCAGTCTACCTCTGGTCAAATGAGGACCAGGGCATTGGTGACTCTGTTTCTGCGGAGTGTGGTGTGTCAAGTGAATCAAGTGTCAGACAGGGAACATTTATATTACAGGAATTGTGGTATCATAAAAGGACAAGCAACAATTCAGATGAAAATGCGTAATTGAATGAGGTTCAATTTCAGTATGTTGAGGTGAATATTTCCCATAAATTAAAATCAAGGATCGGTGGGTAAAAACTAATTGAACAATGGATTGAATTTAAGGAGGGGATTATTTAGATACAGTTGAGGTACATTTCCAAGACAGGAAAGGAAGAAAAATTGAAGCCACAGCTCCTGGGATGATGAAAAAGATGAGAGTAAAACAAGCAAAAATAAGGGGATTATGATCGATGGGAGGTTATTAATATAAATGCGAGCCAACCTGAATATATAAAGTTTAGAAAGGAAGTTAAAAAGGAAATAAGAGGTCTGGAGAAAGAAAAAGATTGGCAGCTAACAAAGTAAAGAAGTCAATAATCTTCTACACAAATACAAATAGTAAAATGTTAGTAAGAGAACGGGTGAAGCTGATTAGTGACCAGACAGAAGATTTGCAACAGAAGCAGAAGACATGACTGAAATACCAAATAGCACTTTACATCTGTCTTTACCAAGGAAGAAGACAGCATCCAAGTCATAGAGAAAGAAACAGTTGCTGAGATACTAAACGGGCTGAGAAAAAATAGACAAACAAAGGCATTAGCAGTGTTGGTTGTATTTAATTGGTAAGTCAATAGAGCTGGGTAGGATGCCTCTGACAATACAGAGAGAAGTAAATGGGGAAAATTGTCAAGGGACCAGTCACAATCTTTAAATCCTCCTTAAATGCTGAAGTGCCTCCACAGGACTGGAAAACAACAAATTACCCCTTGTTCAAAAGGGCTGCAAGGATAACCCAGCATTTACAAGTCAGTCAGTTTAATCTCTGTGGTGGGAAACTTTTTAGATCTAATAGCTTATGATGAGATAACAGGTGCAGATAGTACAGTTAATGTGGTGTGGATATGGCCTTCCAAAAGGCATTCCATAAAGTGCTGCATAATATCTTAAAGCAAATTTTGGGGAGATTCGCAAGTAAGCAGCGCTCTCTCTTTCACACTCTCTTTCTGTGAGTAAAAGACACTGTTCAAAGACTCTGAAAACTGAACAGACAGAAGACCTGAGTCTATATAACCAGCTACCCAAATTGAGGATCTTGCATCACCCTTGGCTTACAGAAATGTGATGTCATTAATGGGATTTGAAATAACCATGAGAAAGTCATCTCATTCTACTTTGGTAGTTTGGACTCTTAAGATTCATAAGAATTTCTTTTGCCTATTTTTTTTCTCACCTGTAATAACTCTACAGAGCTGTATATCCTGTTTCATTCTGCCTGTGTATGAATTTGCATGTGCTTGGATTTAAAAGGGATATAATTTAGGTTTGTATAGTAATGGTAAATAACCCACTTTGCCACTTGTTCAAGAATAAGTTTGTTCATGATAAATAAATTTTTGTGTTCCTTGAAGAAATCTGGTGGGCCTCTTTTCTTCTTGTGTCCTAGATGACAATAAAAGAGGAGAAATATAACTATCTTGGTGATTTAATTGGATATTTACATTTATGGGATATTTTGTGCAGCGGTGGAGCTTGATTGCCAGTGTAATCTTCCCGTCGGAGTCATCACAATATATGATAACGCTTTCTACAATGAGAATAATACTCCAAAGCATCTTAAAACTTATACAGTGCCGGTTAATGTAGTGTTCAATTTACCTTTTTTGGATAGAACCCTAAGATCAATCTTTGCAGTCATAACACATTTAATATTTACCTGTCAAAATGTTCTTCACACCTCAGCAGGCTTTCCTGCAAAGTTCCCAAAGCTGCTTAACTGGCTCTTCCAAAGGTTTCCAAAACCCACCTGATCCAGTGAAAATACTGGAGGTCATTAAATGCAGATTAACCCTCAGTCTATCAATGGCAGTCCTAATATCAGAGGACGTGCAGTTGGAGTTATACCCTGAACCTAACATGACCCTCTTCCCACTTATCCAGCTCAGAGAGTAAAAAGGCAAGGAAGACACGATAAACATTTACAAAACACAGATGTAACCTCAATGAGGGTTTTCTGTCCATTCTGGTCCTCACACTTTAGGATGAATGTTAAGGAGAGAACATGTGATAAATGGTTACGTGGATATTTTGTATAGATGTTCAAAAACATAAGGATGCAGTCACATTGAGAAAATCTTCCCATTGACACAAAATTCAAGAATTAGACGGCACAGATTTACAATGATTGACTGGGACAGTAAAAAATGATGAGAGAAAAGATCTTTAGAAAGCAAATGGTTATGGTACAGAATGTGAGATAGTAGGAACTGCAGATGCTGGAGAATCCGAGACAACAAGGCGCAGGGCTGGATGAACAC